AGGTAAGTGGCTTGAAATCAGCACTACCTCCCATCCCCACCCCACAAAAAATATCTCTATCATGGGTGGAGTAGACAACAAGATGGAGGGGTTTTCTGCAAAGTTTACATTTGTGGCATCCGGTCTCCATTCCTGGCATCCTTTCCCACACAAGTGCTTGTACCTAGTGCCTTCTGGCTCCCCACTGGCCTCCCCTTCAGCACAGTAGGAAAGGGTGTGGTGGTACCACTTCCACTTGAACATGGAAGCAGTCTAGCAGGATGGCTAAAAGCATGGCCTATGGAACTCAAAGTCTGGTTTCACTACTTACTACCAGGGACCCTGGCAAATAACATGGTGTTTTTATGTTAGTTTACTCTGTAAAATGAGAATAATGATACCTCAACCGGGATCCCTGGGTGGCACAGCGGTTTGGCGCCTGCCTTTGGCCCAGGGCACGAACCTGGAGACCCAGGATCGAATCCCACGTTTGGCTCCCGGTGCATAGAGCCTGCTTCTCCCTCTGCCTGTGTCTCTGCTTCCTTCTCTGCATCTCTCATGAATAAATAAATTTAAAATCTTTAAAAAAAAATAAAAAAAAATGATACCTCAACCATCCCCTGGGACTCTGTGAGGATTAAATTAGTAAATCTGGGCAAGATATTTAAGACAGCGACTAACAAATAGTAAGCACTCTGTTAGTGGTCATGAAAAAAATTTGTCTTAGGTTCTAGAGTATTTTCAAGTCAAGCAATTTTACTTAAAGGAATTTCAGGTACAGGCAAGAAGACAGAGAGCTATTTGGTGGTGGGGCTTCCATTGCCCCTGAAATCAAACCTGTGCCTGTATATTAACGTCCTGATTGTGACTTAAATGTTATTGTCTTCCCTGCTTTTCCAGACAGCCCCTAAGAATATGAGCCCCAAACCAAGCTGGCTGATGGGGGCCTAGTCACCTGACTGCTAAGAAAAAAAGAAGCATGAATCCCACTGTCACCCACCTCTGCCCCTGCCAGCCTGGGACCTGTAGAACCCTCTGCCCATGCACAGGCTAGGGCCCCTGTCCTCTTCTCTCACCAACTCACGGCTCTGGGACTCCAGAGTACACACATACCTATCATCCCAGCAAATCCTCTTAAAACACTGTGAGTCTAATGCTAGATTCAGTCTAGAGGATAGCTATTTGACAGATGGCCAGACTAAGGTTTGGGAAAATACAAGATGGTTCTCAGGTGCTGGTCCAAGAACTGATGCCTTAAGGTGATGTTTTCACTGGTCCTCAACAAAACTGGAAAAATAAGAACCATGCAATGAATTTTTCATGAAGTAGAAATTATTTCATATTTAAATCATGAGATTATGGCCTATCTTCTTTCCTGGGTATATGTGGGGGAAAGATGTTAAAATGCCCTTATTTTTTTTTTTAAGATTTATTTATTCATGAGAGAGAGAGAGAGAGGCAGAGACACAGACAGAGAGAGAAGCAGGCTCCATGCAGAAGCCTGACGTGGGACTTGATCTGGGTTTCCAGGATCACACCCTGGGCTCAAGGCGGCGCTAAACCACTGAGCCTCTTTCAATAAATGTATCATTTTTGTGCACAGACAAAAAAAAAAAAAAACAAAAAAACAAAAACAAAAAAAACACTGAGCCACCTGGGCTGGCCAAAATGCCCTTATTTTATAAAATGATATTGATAGAAGCAGGGATTTGAAACTTCATCTTTTGAATACTTTCACTCTATTCACTATTTCAATTATTTTAAAATAGTTCTAAGCTAATTTTAACTTTAAATTCAACTTTACATATTAAAATAAGTATTAGACAATTAATTACAAGTGTTTTAAATTATAGACCATATTGTATACTTGAAAATATCTTCAAATGAAACTCAACACAAGGTTGACTCTTCCTGGCATCCTTGTGCAGGGCTGAAATGCAAATCTTCATATGGACAAGGGAGTCAAAAGCTTAATAAAGTAGGCTGGGTGGAAGTGCAGCTTCTGACTCCATGCTGCAGCACTCCAGGGCCAGAGAAAGGAAAAGAAGCCAATTTGCAAAACCTTAAGTGTAGCATTTAAGGGAGCAGGTCTCCCCCTGCTGGCAGTGGTGGTGGCAAAACGAGTCTTGAACCACAAGGGGTACAGAGAACTCCAACTGGAAAGGACTCTTCAGCAAGAAGACACTGTGCTCTGATACCCACTCTCCTCATAGGAACCTTAGCCTAAATGTAAGCATGACAGTAAAGATGAAAGAAGTCATGGCACCAAGGAAACCATCAACAAAGATGCTGATTTACAAACCCTGGCAAATGAACAAAGCCAGGAAGAAAATTTTTTACATTGGTTTAGCTATATAAAAATATTATTCATTTAAAAAAATTACCTGTTTTTATGAATTGCTTATTTTTTTTAAAGATTCTATTTATTTATTTATAGAGACACAGAGAGAGAAAGAGAGAGCGGCAGAAACACAGGCAGAGGGAGAAGCAGGCTCCATGCAGGGAGCCCAATGGGAGACTCGATCTGGGTCTCCAGGATCACATCCCGGGCTGCAGGCGGTGCTAAACCGCTGCACCAGCAGGGCTGCCCCGAATTGCTTATTTTATATCATTAGTTATATAAATCCATACTCAACAAAAATCACACCTATAAAATTAAATTTGTCTGATTTTGGTTCCATTAGCAAACTTGTCCTTAAAGTTCAAGTTATTGCTGCAGCATGAACGTCTGCTCATAAAACAGATAAAATAAGGTAAGTTTGGTTTACTTGCACCTTTGGGGGACTAAAATAATCCTCACGCTTTGCCTTATTTCATTGATTCCCTGTTGCCTGGTATGCATTATGCCCTCATCTACTTCCATTATCGTAAATCCAACTTTTATCTGTCCTTTTTTTTTCCTTTTTATCTGTCCTTAAAGCTTTACCTTCTGCTCTCTTCCTTCTCCGACAACAAAAAAACAACTGAAGGCTCTTTTTTTCTTCCTTGATTTTATTAATTAGCTTATGGTCAGAATCCCCTGACACTTAACAACATTCTCACATAGTTTATTAGAGCATGTCTTTCCCATATCAGATTCTAAGGTGTCTGAAGACAAAGACTGTTTTATTCCATCCCCCCCCCCATAAAAAGAAGCAATATGGTTAATGGTTCAGATCTCCGACTTAGTTTGTGTCATCAGTAGCATAAACCTCATTGCTCTCATATCTGTCAACTACAAATGATACGAGCACCAACCTCATAAATTTGCAGAAACATTGGGAGAGAATGCATGTTAAAGCTGCCTGCATCTTAATTGCTTGATAATTGTTAACTATTGTTTTCACTCCCTCCATCCCCTCAACAAAAGCCTTACATGCTGTAGGCATTCAATTATTATTTGTTGGTGGGGCTTAGGCTAATAAAAACATTGATGTGGAGTAATGCATTAGTATTATCTGTGTCTAGAGGACTAACGTGATTAACCATGACCTAGCAGCGCTTAAAAAGGCTCGGATTACCAACACGGGCGATTTCCTCCCCGACCCGTGATCCCGATCCGGTGGTGGAATACAACTCTGTGATATTGGCAACGTGCTGCTATCATCTGTGAGGCCCAATAAGGTAGCCCTTTAGCTACACGTGGCCATTGAGGGTTTGAAATGAGGCTGGTGCAAATGAAGCGCTGGAAATCTTAGATTTCTTTTATTTTTTTTTTATTTATTTTTTATTTTTTGAGAGCTAGAGCCTGAGCGAGCACCAGCGGGGGCGGGGCGGGGGGGGTGGGATTGGCCAAGGGAGAGGGAGAAGCAGGTTCCCCGCTTAGCAGGGGTCAGGGGCTGGACTCCGTCTCATGACCTTGGAATCATGGCCTAAACTGAAGGCAGAGGCTTAACCGACTCAGCTACCCAGACACCCCTGAAATTTTGTAATTTTTTTTTTAAAGATTTCATTCATTTATTCATGAGAGACACAGACAGAGGCAGACACGCAGGCAGAGGGAGAAGCAGGCTCCATAAGGGGAGCCCGACACGGGACTCGATCCCGGTACTCCAGGGTCATGTCCTGGGCTGAAGGTAAGGGCTAAACCACTGAGCCACCCAGGGATTCCCTGAAATTTTGTATTTTAAATACCCGCTAGTAAGCCAGCCTGGGTGGCTCAGCGGTTTAGCGCCGCCTTCAGCCCAGGGCCGGATCCTGGAGACCCTGGAATCGAGTCCCACGTCGGGCTCCCTGCATGGAGCCTGCTTCTCCCTCTGCCTCCCTGTGTGTCTCTCATAAATAAAATCTTTACTTTTTTAAGAAAAATTTATTTGTTAATCTTTTATTTCTATTTTTTAAATTTTATTATTATTTTTTAAAGACTTTATTTATTTTTAAAAGATTTTTTTAATTCATGAGAGACAGAGAGGCAGAGACACGGGCGGAGGGAGAAGCAGGCTCCATGCACGGGAGCCCGACGTGGGATTCGATCCCGGGTCTCCAGGATCACGCCCTGGGCCGAAGGCGGGCGCTAAACCCGAGCCACCCGGGCTGCCCTAAATAAAACCTTTAAAAACTAAACAAACCATCGCTAGTGATTAAGCGGCGACTAGACAGGGCAGCTCCAGAAGTCGCCTCCACCTGTCGGTCCCTGTGCATGCACCTTAGAAGGACCGTCTCCTAATGAGGAGCGCTCCCTGCTCCGATGCAAGAGAGGTGATCCCAGCCCCTCTTCCTGGAGCTTCTGTACACGCGTGCTCGCTGTGACCCGTGTCCGAGAGCTGGCGGGAGGGGCTGTACCCACTTGAGCCCGCCAGCTCGGGCGGTGGCAGGGGGCAAGGCAAGCAAGCGCGCGTCGAACGACGCGGAGCCACCGAAGAAGCACCGACCGCGTCCCTGCCTGGCGCACCACCGTCTCCAGGTGGCTGGGAACGCCCGCCCGCCCGCCGCGCCAGGCCCGCCCGCCCAGCCGCGCCGCCCGCCGCCGCCCGCCGCCGCCCCACGTGCCCGTCGGCAGGCCCGTCCGCACCGCCGGCCCGCGGGTGTCCCTGCGTACACACCGAGAGCCACTCCCTCGGCCACCTCCGTCCGCTCGGGTCCGCTCCACGCTCGGCCCCCCGCGGCTCCTCCAAACCCCGCCTCGGAGCCGTGCCCGCCCGGCCCTGCGCTGGGGGAGGGGGCGGGGCGGGGAGGGGTCCCTAACCTAACCTAACCCTAACCCTAACCCTAACCCTGTACAAAATGGCGGCGAACCCCCGGAACCAACCATAGAGACGCCCGCCTTCCGCGGAGAGAGTGTAGGCCTCTTAGGGACGCCCGCGCCTCCCTGAGAGGCGTCCCCGCCTCGCCTTCCGGTGGGGGCGGGGCCCTTCTAGGAGAACCGTCGGCGGTCTCCATGGTGCCGGGTCCTCCGAGCCGAGTCACGTGGCCGGAGAGCGCCGCCGCGGAGGCGGAGGGAGGAGAAATGGGCGGGAGGCGCGCGGGTGGGGGTGGGGGGGTGGGGGGGTGGGGAGTAGCTCGAGACCCGGCGCCGGCGGGGTTGTCATGGAGCCGCGGGGCCGGGCTCGCGCATGCGCCGCCTGACCCGCGGGGCCGGTCGTGGCGAGGCGACCTCGGCCCTAGGTGAGAGCGGGAGGGCTGGGCCCCGGGGTAGAGGGTTCGCGCCGGGAGCGTGGGGCAAGGCGCAGGAGTAGCGAGGAGGAGGGAGGCGACGTAGGCAGAAGAGAGGGCCAGACTTTGGGGGCACGGAGGGCCAAAAGGTGGGAGCAGGGGGCGGTGCGTCTGTCCCCCTTTTAGTTGGTTGCTGTGGCTGCGAGGGGCGCGGCTGCGTGGGAGAGGAGACGGCGGGGCCTGGGGGCCGAGTGTGCCGAGCGAGTGGGGTACGCCGGGGCGGCCGGGCCCTGGGCTGGGTCTGCTGGGCGTGCGGGCGGCGCAGAGCCGCAGGCCTCCAGGGGCTCTGAGCAGAGGCGCGGGGAACGGGCAGGTGAGCGGGCGCGGGGCTGGCAGCGCGGGGAGGGCCCCGCGCCTCCAGGGTGGGGGTGCGCGTAGGGCCCCTTCCTCGGCCCGGGACGCAGGGGTGCTGCTGCCTTTGCAGAGACCTGCTGTCACCCACTTGGCTGGCTATTTCTCCCGGGTGGCCAGCTTGCCAGGTATGGTGCCAGCGCGTGGGGAGGTGGGGGGGAGAAGGTGCGCAGCGCCAAGTAAGGAGTTAGTGCTTAGTGGGGGGGGGGAGGGTTTCGGGTGGTTCTGAGCCGGGCTCAGGGCACAGGCCGCAGCCAGGCTCCCTGTTCTTGCCCAAGTCCTGGCAATGCACATTGCCTGGGCGTTTGCCCCGGGAGTCTGGTGGTATGCCAGTCACAGCACAGTCCTAGGGTCTGCCCAGTTCTGCCCTGCTGAGCTGGCAGGCTGGTGGATGCCTGGAGGGTGCTCCTACTGTCTGGCACAGATGCAGCGTGGGCTGGTGCGAATGGGGAGGTGGGCACTGTTAATGTGAACCCTTCTGGGAAGCTGGGGATTTGGAGAATTTCTCTGATCTTATCTCCTCTTTAAAAGAGGAGAATGGAGGGAGCCATATCTGGTCCTCCAAACAGGGCATCGTGTGGAATCGGGGTTTGGGATCTTTGACATAAATTTGCAGCCAAGTTGGAGAATGGAAGTGGATGTGAAGGGGAGGATGAATATTTGAGATTTAGGTTGGGGGATGGGGTCCTCCCTCTGTTAACACACACAGACATTTCCCCCGAGTGGTATCTCCCACATGGACACCAGGAGAAAATAACTTCAGGGAAAAGCCAGTAATGTATTTATAATTCTAGCTGGGATTACTCATGATTTTCTGGGTGGTAAGGTCTTAATTTTTATGGCCTTGTGCTTTTTTTGTAATTAAGCCTCTGCTTGGGCTTTCACCTCACACCTCTGTCCATGCACGCATGTTATCCACGTGATGCATTTTAAAGGGAACTTGAGCTCTTGGGAAAGTCGCCAAGTGTCTATAAAAGGAAAGATCTGAGAGCAGCATTTCAGATCCTTTCCTTGTAAACCTTGGGTCTCCCTTTTATCAGAAGCCTAAATCTCCATAAAGATTGTGGATTAGACAACCTTTAATTCAGTTGGTGGATTTACCCCTGAGGTTTCACCTTAGAATAAGGGGTAGATGAGATACCTATTTCTCACAGGAGACCAGACCTGGAAGTTAGATCTTGAGGTGATCATGGTGTTTGGAAATGCAGTCTTGACCTTCAAGCTGTTCAGGTATTTCGGTGACAGCTAAGCTGCTCGGCTGTCAGCGAGACTCAGCAGGACAGAAGATTTGTTGGAATGTATTATTCTGTTGAGGACCTCACATATTAATTGTGCAGGGTTGAGGTTGCAAAGATAGAAAAACAAACAAACAAAAAAAAGACAACTCTTGAGGTTGAGGAGACAAATAACTAAACCCTAATGTAAGGAGTGTAAAAATAGAAGATCCAAGTGCTATGGAGCACTTGTTAGAATTTTATGTTATACTTATTTATATAAACTTCTGTATTTATCGATTCACTTTTCTTTTTTTTAAAGATTTTATTTATTTATTCGTGAGAGACACAGGCAGAGGGAGAAGCAGGCTCCATGCAGGGAGCCCGACGTGGGACTCGATCCTGGGTCTCCAGGGTCAGGCCCTGGACCGAAGGTGGTGCTAAACCGCTGAGCCACCCAGGCCGCCCTCGATTCACTTTCTATTATGAGTTTCATGTGTACTATTCCCTCTGGGAACATTTTGGACAATGTGTTACGGATGCACTTAGAAGAGGCCCCTTTAGGGTCAATTCTGACAGTCTAAGGGAACTTAAGCTGGAGTCCTTTCAATGGAAAGTCAGGCACGTGAGGACCTCAGATGTTTGTAAAGCAGGGTGCGTTAGTGGTTTCCAGTCTGTGCCAGGACGCAGGAGATGGCATGGTGGGTGAGAGCTCAGTAACCCATTTCCAACTGCTAGTCAGCTTATGAGCATCTAAGTTCAATGTAAAATAATATTGAAGAGGAAAAAAACCTTAAGGTTTTCAGACTGCTGGTTGCATGGCCTTGGATTTGAGAGCGGTGGTAGTAAGTTCCCCCGCTGCGTGCTTGTCTCATGTCATGGGCCTCACGTGGTGCTGTGCATGAGTGAGTCTGTTGTTCACTGGCTCATTGACTTCCCCAGCACCACACCCAGGAAGGCAGTGCCTCTCCTCTCAGAGAGGACAGGTCAAGGTGGGATGATGTAGCCCTTCATTACCCATCCCATGGAAACCTTCCCAAGGCTTAAAAAGAACTCTACTTAGGACAGAGGCTTCCATGTTTTTAGTCACTCACATCCAAAGTAGTTTGCCTTTTTTTTTCTTTTTTTTCTTTTTTTTTTAATTTTTATTTATTTATGATAGAGAGAGAGAGAGAGAGGCAGAGACATAGGCAGAGAGAGAAGCAGGCTCCATGCACCGGGAGCCTGACGTGGGACTCGATCCCGGGTCTCCAGGATCGCACCCTGGGCCAAAGGCAGGCGCTAAACCGCTGCGCCACCCAGGGATCCCTTTTTTCTTTTTTTTTAAGATTTTATTTATTTGAGAGAGAGCGTGAGCTGGGGGAGGAGCAGATGGAGAGGAAGAAGCAGATTCCCTGCTTAGCAGGGAGCCCAACGTGGGACTTGATCCCAGGACCCCAGGATCATGACCTGAGCCAAAGGCAGATTTTTAAACGACTGAACCACCCAGCCTCCCCTGTGTGCTGTTCTAAAGTGGATTGTGCATTCTTTATTTCCAGCTGCCACCAATTTTCTGGGGCTTAACATTTTTGCATCTGTTCTCCTTTTAACCTATTGGCCAATGTTTGTGTTTTGATTCCACAATTAGTATTGTCCTGCACATTCTCAATGAGCCAGAAAATTCCTACATATCTTCTGTAGTTCCGTTGACCACACTTTAGTAACAGTAGCAAGACCTTTTTCGTTGTCTTTTCAAAAGGATTATAGACCAAACTGGGGTGCTTTATCGAAAATACCTGTAAAATAATTCATATCTGTAAGGTAATGTGGAACTCTGCCAAGTGCTCAATTAGTTGCAACTAACATGAGCTACCCTTCCTGATCAAAATCAACAGCAGGGTCAGACTTGAATAAGTCTCATTGCCCATCCACAAGCTACATCTCCTTCCATTTTGAAGAAGCTTCGGGTTTACTTTCCATGGTATTACTTCAGGAAAATGCAACTATGCACATTTGTTGGGTTTCATACAAAAGGATCCTGATTTAATTAGAGATGCAGTTCTACATTTTGGTCTACTTTTTTTTTTTTAAGATTTTATTTATTCATGAAAGACACAGAGAGAGGCAGAGACATAGGCAGAGGGAGAAGCAGGCTCCCTGCGGGGAGCCCAGTACGGGACTCAATCCCAGGACCCAAGATCATGACCTGAGCCAAAGGCAGATGCTCAACCACTGGGCCTCCCAGGTCTACCTTTTCAATTGGATTATTCATGCTGTCAAACATCATAGCTACCCACTAGAGATATCACTTTTCTATTGTGCTATGCAAGATGGGACAGTGCCATTGTGTATCTTTTGTGCACATGGTACTTAACTTGTGACCTGTGTAAGAGTGTGTGGTTTGACTGACTGAAGCAGGGAAGCCAGTGTTTTTTTGTTTTTGTTTTTGTTTTAAGATTTTATTTATTTGACAGAGCGAACACACAAGCAGGAGAAGTAGCAAGCAGAGGGAGAGGGAGAAGCAGGCTCCCCACTCAGCAGAGAGCCCGAGGTAGGGCTCAATCCCAGGACCCTGGGGTCGTGACCTGAGACGAAGGCAGATGCTTAACTGACTGAGCCACCCTGGTGCCCCTGGAGTTGTGTTTAAAATTCAGTCTTATTCAGATGAGTTCCCTTTAGGGACACCTGGGTGGTCCAGCAGTTGAGCATTTGCCTTCGTCTCAGGGCGTGATCTCAGATCGTGATTCCGGGGTCCTGGGATCGAGTCCCACATCAGGCTCCCTGCCAGCTTTTCCCTCTGCCTGTGTCTCTGCCTCTCTCTGTGTCTTTCATGAATAAATAAAATCTTAAAAAAAAAAAAAGAAAAGAAAAGAAGAGTTCCCTTTAGTCCACTTCTACTGTATGAAAAGTAGGAGCAAGATGGTTGCTCGTAAACATCCTTGTCTTTAATTTTATCTTAAATTGCTCCTCTGCTTCTGGAGTAGTTGATGTTCTTCACTAGATCCTCTGCTAGGGAAATGTTCAGACGTGGCATTTCAGGGTATTCCAGATACAATGCCCGTTGGCAGGGAGCTCGTGTTTTGCTCCACTCAGAAAGACGAATGGATGGAGCCGCAAGTGGACTGTGAATTAAAACATCACCAGGCATTGTTTATACCTAATATCTTTGTGCATTCGTGGTGCTGTAACAAAACAGCACAGACTGCGTAGTTTATAAACAACAAAAATGTATTTCTCACAGTTCTGGAGGCTGGAAGTCCAAGATCAGGGGATGAGCACAGTCGTCTTCTGGGTCCCAGAATGTTCACAGTCCTCCTGTGGTGGAAGGGGCAAGGGATCTCTCTGGAGTCTGGTTTATAGTGCACTAATTGAATTCACAAGGGCTCCACCATCACGATTCAAGCACCTCCCAAAGGCCCCACCTCCTAATGCCATCCTCTCTAGGGGTTAGGATTTCAACATATGAATTCTACCCAGTTTTCATTGTCCTTGCCATTTTTCCTGTCCTCTTTATCTCTGCAATAGCCTTTGTGGTCTTATGCCATCCTAACCACTGCCATTCCACAGGACTCAGATGTCCTTGTTAAAATATGTAGAATGTTCTCAGCCTCTGCCAGCCCTTTGAAGGGTTCATTTGTCTCATTCTTTTCACTGCTAGCCAAATTCTGGATCTGCTATGGACGAGGTGTGTCACTGGGGCAAGTCTAGGCTTCTTTAGCTTCTCTGGGCTCCCCACTTGTACATGTGACAGTCTCCCCAGCGTCTCCACTCAGATGACCCACGGCCACTTCTCTCTACATGGCCAAGACTGGACCAGCCTAGCCACCCCACCCAGTCCCTCTGTGCAATTCTTGGGCTGCCTAGCTTAGGAAATGGTACCACCATCTACCTCCCAACGTGCAATGACCAATTCCCATCAAGTCTTCTTTCTGAATAGATCTCCAGTCTGTTTGCTTCTCTCCATCTCCACTGCTACAACTTTAATTCACCCTGGCTACTGTGGTAGTATCTGAGTGATCTCAGTGCCTCTCTTACCTCCCTTCACTTTAATCTCAGTCCAGCATCCAAAATGCTTTTAAAATGCTGATCGAGGGCAACCCCGGTGGCTCACAGGGTTAGTGCCGCCTTCGGCCCAGGGTGTGATCCTGGAGACCCAGGATCGAATCCCACATCGGGCTCCCTGCATGGAGCCTGCTTCTCCTTCTGCCTGTGTCTCTGCCTTTCTCTCTGTGTCTCTCGTGAATAAATAAAATTTTTAAAAATAAAATGCTGATCGATCATGGGTTATGAGGCACTGCCTGTTTGGCCCCCATCAATCTCTCTAGGCACAAGTGCATGGCCTTCTACCCCCCCACCCCACCCCCCTGCACTGTGCTCTGGACTCCCTGGTCTCCCAACTCTTTGAATGTTTCAAACTCTTGTTCCTTTAGGGCCTTTACATGGCCACATCCCCCCCATCCCCCCCCCAGGCTAACTCTTCCGATCCAGCTACATGGCATTTCCTCAGGAAAGCCTTCCCTTACTCAGCCCTCCCTCACCATCTCCGACTGTTAGCCCCTTCCCTTCATACCTATTTTTAAAAATAGTGATTAAGTAATTGTGTGATTACTGGATTAATGTCTTTCTGGCTCTCTAGATCAAAAGCTCCAGCAAGGTAGTGACCATGTCTCTTCTGTGCATTTTGTATTGGTCCTAGCACAATGCTTCATAGTGGGCAGTTGATAAATATTTCTCTTTTTTTTTTAAGAGTATTTATTTGAGAGAGGAGTAAGAGAGAGAGCACACATGAGTGGGGAAGGAGAGGAAGGGGCAGAGAGGGAGAAGCAAACTCCCTGCTGAGCAGGGAGCCTGATGAGAGGCTCATTGTAGGGCTTGATCCCGGGACTCCAGCCAGAATCATGACCTGAGCTGAGGGCAGACGCTTAATTGACTGGGTCACCCAGGTGCCCCTTGATAAATATTTCTAAATGGCTGTCACTTATATGAGCCTCAACTTCCTCCTCTGTAAAATGGAATAGCAACCGAGGAGGACATTAACAGAGTGATATTGTGTGTGGACTTGTATAGAATCAAAGCACTATTATACACAATCTTATTTATGCAGGAAAGTTCTTTTTAAGCCAAAATGGAACATGCATATATGAGTTGTGTTTACTTTGTTCAGTACTTCACCTAAAGAAGTGAAAGGTTAGGGATCCCTGGGTGGCGCAGCGGTTTGGCGCCTGCCTTTGGCCCAGGGCGCAGTCCTGGAGACCCAGGATCGAATCCCACATCGGGCTCCCGGTGCATGGAGCCTGCTTCTCCCTCTGCCTATGTCTCTGCCTCTCTCTCTCTCTCTCTGTGTGTGTGTGTGTGTGTGTGTAACTATCATAAATAAATAAAAATTAAAAAAAAAAAAAAAAGAAGTGAAAGGTTAATTTGAGCAACTATACTGTGGGAGTTGGCACTAAGTCCAGAGTCTGCCAGTGCATACTGGGAAGGCAAGCCTCGTCGGAGATGGGCATCACCACTCCTCCCTCCCTTGGGGCATGGGGTGAGTTACCCCTTCCAAAAAGCCTAATCAAGTGTGCCTTTGTTAGCACTTTACAAAGCTTCCACTGAGTGTGGTTTGTATGCCCTGAATTTGTAATGGAATTTGAGGGCAGGAGAGGACAGTGAACCTCCTTTTGGGTAGAAACCATTCTGCTGTGTAGCAAAGTGGAAGCTCGTATAAGCCCAGGCCTCTGAGAAAATACGAGGAAGTGGGCGAGGACAGTGTTCTCTGCTCTCACCCTCTTCACCGCCTGGATCACCTGTGTCAGCTCTCCAGGCACTGTCTTCTTACGTAATTGTTGTTGTTCCCAGGGCAATCCAGAGGAAAGGAGGCCTGATGCATCCACTTCCAGCCCCGTAAAACATGGAGAGGAAAAACCCATCCAGAGAGAGCCCCCGAAGACTCTCAGCCAAACTGGGCAAAGGCACAGAGATGAAGAAGGTGGCTCGTCAGCTCGGCATGGCAGCCGCCGAATCAGACAAGGACTCCGGATTTTCAGGTTAAAAATACCTTATTCCTTCCATGTTGCAATGAATGATTTGCCTGAAAAACGTCCCCCCTAAAATTAATTTGTGTGATAAACGTGGGAAGCTCTCATGTACAGGATAAATATCTAATCTCTTAAAATGGTAATTCTGGTGCCATATGGTGGGCTTCCTATCAGTCACCTGGGGTTGGTTCTGAAGGAATTGATCTGACATCTTTTTTCAACTCAGACTCTCTCAACTTTCAATCTTCTGTTTCCAACTGTTGCAAGTGGTTACTGGAAAAAAAATCTTTAAGTACTGGTAATCCTATTGTCTTAGCTCCTTTTTCATAGGAATAGCTACATGGCTGGAAAAAAAAAGTACTACTGCATGCTGTCACCCTGTAGCAAATGAAACAAAGTAGCATATGATTTAAGATAACTGTTTTTTGCTAAAAAAATAATAATAATAATTTTGATGTTTAAAAACATTTCCCTCCACAACACATCCCTGCATATCTGTGCATTTTGTATTTGGACTGTGGGACCCCTAGTGCGGTTCCAAACTTGAAAATCTATTAGAGACAAGAAAGTAGAACAGTTTTCAGTTTCCCTTGCTAGTTTGTTTTAAACCTTATCTGAAAGGGCTAGCTGCCTACACAGTGAACCTTTCCAATTTTCACTGTGCTGGGCACTTTTATTTCCAGGTTTGAGGGTAGTGGCTTAGAGATGGCTCTAGTGTCAATGTCTTTGGCTGAGAGGATGCAGAGAGATGATGGCAGGGAATTCTGGCTGGGTCAGCATCCTGAGAGTAGAGCCTCCTCCTAGAGGAGGATTTATGTTATCCAGCTTCACAGAGACTAATCAATCCATCTTGTTGATTTATTAATTTATAGTGAGAAATGCAGCTGTTAGGAAAATTAGACTTCTCTTATCCCTAGATTGGTGTGTTTTCTCCCTGTAGGCATCCTGCATGAGAAGCCAAATTATAAATAGATTGTTGCTCAGAGAGAAACAGCACCAGTAAATCGAAGGATTAGAATAAGGACAGTCCAGGGAAGGAGGGCCAATTTATTAGCCTTTGGGTTTTTCTTCTCTCTCAGCATTGTTTCCCAAGCTTGACTCATCATAAGGCTCATCTGAGGTTCTTGTTAAAAATAACGATCACCACCACCCAGGTATGTACTGATTCCCCTGAGGTCATCAATTGCCAAAGGAATATCATCAGTGTTATCATTTAATTAGCAGAATGCCTTCACAAACTCACAAGGGAGTTGGAGGACCTACTGAGTAATAATAATGATGTGGACATTTGTATAGAATTTACCATATAAATTCTGCATAACCAATGGCTGGCTGGGAAGCCAGCCCCTGATGGATAATGTTTGCCAGTTTCCATGGTGCATATACTCTCACCAGGACCAATTAATTTCAGGCTACTATGTGACCAAATATGGGGATGGGAAGATTTGGGGAATTAGAAAAGAAAAAGAAAAGTACACTGTCAGTCTTTGTGAGCTGGTAAGAACCAACTGCAGCACTTCAAGCTACATAGTTCACATAAAATTAATCATAACAACTATCCTGTAAGAAAGTACTATTATGTTCCCCATTTTAGAGATGAGGAAATTGAGGCACAGAATGATTACATAATTTCTGGAGCGCCTGGGTGGCTCATTCGGGTAAGCATCCAGCTCTTGATTTCGGCTCAGGTCATGATCTCAGGGTCATGGGATGGAGCCTGGAGTCAAGCCCTGCTTCAGGCTCTGCTTGGTGCAGAGTCTGCTTGTCCCCCTTCCTCTGCTCTTTTCCCTCCTCACTCACACGCACACACACACACACACACACACTCTCATAAATAAATAAATAAATAAATAAATAAATAAATAAATAAATAAATAATAGATAGATAGATAGATAGATAGATAGATAGATAAAATTTTAAAAATGTTTTTAAAAAAGAAAGATTATATAATTTCCAAGATCATGCAACTGGCCAATAGAGCTGGGATTTGAACCCAGAGATGTGTGATTCCAGAGGCCTCTACCTTTCTGGAACTGGGACACAATAACCCAGTTCTTAGTGGAAAGCTCTGATGAAATTCTTTAGGTTAATGTCAGCCAAATCCACCTCATTTATTCATTTATTCACTCAATAATTGATCGGAAGTACTCAATGATGGCGAATACACTTTGGCTGAGATGCTCACAGTTGCTGCACTGGAGTGAAAATATTCTGTGTGAGGACTAAAATAAACCTACATTTGGTATGACTGTCACACCTTTTGGTGTTCTGTAGGGCAGCCACAAGATTCCCTTGCTTTGGCATTCCGTATATACTGACCTTTGGCACAAACTCATCAGGGACTGGGCCAACATTATGGCAGAAGTTTGGGTAGGCACATGGATACGTATGTAGTTCCTGTTATCTGAGTGGTAAGAATATTGCCATGGTTATTCTAGCCAGACTTTTGTTGGCTAGGGTGGTGTATGAGTTTGTTTGGACTGCCATAACAGTATCACAAACTGGGTGGCTCAAACAGCAAATTTATCATCTCACAGTTCTGGAGGCTATAAGTCTGAGATCAAGGTGTGGGCAGGGTTCATTCTCTGAGGGAGAATGAAAAAAAAAATAGTGATCACCAGACTCCTCTCTGAGAGGTTGTGATGGCAAAGGTCTGGGGGAGAGCTTGAAAGGCAGGTTTTGCTTTTTACAAGTGTCTGGAGATTTCTGCGATCAGACTGGTTTGGGCACCATTGTAGGCCTAATGTCTCTCCTTTTTTCTCTTATTATCATGTTTGTTTTTCATGTTTTTCATGAAGGTAATAAGTGCTCATTGTAGAAGCTTAGGAATTTAGGAACATGCAAAGAAGAAATTAAACATTATCCGTCACACCACCACCGATTATTTCCAGTCTGTCGACATTTCAGTATTCCTTCCAACAACCTCAGCCTTGCCAGCCCACTTGTTTTGTAGTATGTCCCAAAGTCTAGATAGTTTTTCTGATAGTTGCCTTATTCTCTATGTAGAAGTTCTTTAAGAAGCATTGTGTTGTTCAAACATAAAGTGGGATTAAAAATAATCATTATGCCCCAGAAAGTGGCCCCAGTGAATGCCTCTGGCTGCTCCTGGGCCAGGTGCAAGCAAGTGAGTTCATCAGTGGCCTGTTACCTTGGAGTGTGATGGGATTCGTAAAACCAAGGTGGTTTTTCCCATTTGAATTATTTTCCCAACTTTATATTTTGAAAAATTTCAAATCTATACAAAAGGGAATGAATATCATGGGTGTCTTTCAGATTGAGTGATACCATTTTGCCATATTGCTTTCTCTCTCAATACACATACATACCTGTTTCTGAGGTTTCTATTTCATATATATATATATATACATATATATATAAACGTATATACGTCAGTACGAGTCTCCTAAAAGAATGACGTTTTCTGTATGATTACATCAGTGTCACCAAGAATTTTCACATCAATATAGTTATTAATTAGCCACTGTCCGTATTCAGATTTTCCCCACTGTCTCAGTAATGTCTTTTATTAGCTGTTTGTTTTTTTGTCAGTTTGTTTGGATCCAGGATCCAGCTGAGGATTGTGCATTTCATTCAGTTGTCTTTTTCAGTCTGATTTGGTCTAGAACAATGCCCTCATCTTTCCTTGCCTTTTCTTCCTTCCCTTCTTCCTTCTGTTTTCTGTTTTAATGACAGTGACATTTTTGAATGAATTAGGCATGTTGTTTTGTAGAATGTCTCACTCTTTGAATTTTTCTGGTAGTCTCCCCATTATTAGATCAGGATAAGCATTTTCGTTTTGCCAGAATACTATACTCTTGATGTTACATCTTTCTCCTTTTTCTTTCTCCTTTATTGAGTACACTATGGAATTGTGGAATTCTTTTGTAATTCACTTTGTCAGTGCTATATCATTAATTCTTTTGATAGTCAAACTGTCCCAAACTTGGCCAGTGGGAGCTCTTTCTAGATAGTTCCTGTGACTTTTCTACTTGACTCCATTTGTGTTTGAGCACTTCCTTGCTTTCTGGGGCAATAAGAGTCCAGGCTCATCATGTAGTTTTCACTGGCAAAGACTTGCATTGGACTAGCTGTTTCTCCAAGGACCCCTGTTTTTCTTTTTGGGCAGAATGGCATTTAGAAATCAAGATCCATGCACTAGGTATGCATTTTGCTTCTGAGGTCCTTTGTTTCTAGCTCTGTTCACCAGAGGTGCACATTTGGAATACTTGTGCTTTGTGAAAATCCACCTGCCTGGGCACCAGACAATCGGTTCAGTAGACTGAAGGGAGGACCCCCAACATCTATAAATTCTGAAAAGCATCACCAGAGATTCTGATTAAATGCAAGTGTTGACAGACTCATTTAAATTATGGTCACATTTCTGTCCTGCCTAAGCCAAATTACTCTGAGCTTCTTGATGAGCATTTAGTGTATTCCCAGACTCCTCTCTAGCAGGGTTAGAGCAGTCTCTTGGTTTACTCTGGCAGGTAGCTAATTAAGTCCTTTTTGTATGGATTTCACATCGGGGAAATCTCATTTTCTTTACCTCAGAGATTATCTTTCTATCTCTCATGAGGCAGGATCCCCAGAAGGCATGCTCAGCATGCATTTAGGATATCAGCACCTCCTTTGTTGGAGGTATTGGGTGGAGGTGGGGGTAATAGAGACACATTTTAAATTTCAGCTTTGATGATCTTGCCCAGAATTGTACAATTAACAAATTTAGGATGGAGCTCTTTAAATTTCATCATGAATGCATGTTTTGAGGTTTACAGGTTGGTTTTGTTTTGTTTTTATTATGCTATCTTGTGGTGCCCAGCCCCTCTACAGGTCTTCATCCTGCCCCACGGCACACACACAGTCCCCTCCCCTTTCAACGACAGATTCTTGAAAGTAATGATCTAACTTTGAAGCCTTCAATCTGTTTCTCCTGTAGTCTGGTGATGATGACTTTTACAGAAACCTAACTGATGCAAGTTTTTGTCTGTAATAGAAATAGAAAGGAAGTCTGCTGTCCTAGGGCAGTGCTTCATAATTTTTTGGGGGTAGGAGGGGTTATTGTGTTTGGTTGAGAATACAATGAAAGCTAAAGACCCATTCAGAAAAGTTCACAAAAACCACCTATCACAAATGTTCCATTCCATTCCATCCCGAGAAGTCTGTTAACTCCTTAGAAGATCTGCTTAGGAGCCCCTAGCCTAGATCCTATGCGAACTGACCATTCTTCTGCTCACCAGATGGGAGCTCAGAGTGTCTGAGCTCAGCAGAGCAGATGGAGTCCGAGGACATGCTGAGCGCCTTAGGCTGGAGCCGAGAAGACAGGCCAAGGCAAAACTCCAAGACTGCAGGCACGGCCTTCCCAGCACTGTCCCCGATGGTTGTAATGAAGAATGTGCTGGTCAAACAGGTGAGGAGGGCTACTGTCTCCTAATGTGTCTGCACATTAAAGTGTCTGAGCTTCCTGTACAGTGCCTCTCCCTCTCCGTCCAGGAGAGATTTTAGAAGCAAACCACTGGAACCACACTGATGCCTCCTTCTGTCCTGGGGAGATGATGTTTCCTTTCAGCTACTGACGGTGTTTTCAAAAGGACTACAATAATCATGACCCATGTTCCCGTTTTCCAGACAGTAGGACTCCTCTATTTCTGTGTTCCTGGTTCGTCCAAAGGGACCTCAGAATTCTCTAGTCAGGAGCAGGAATGTCGTAACTTTCAATGTTGCATTCCAACATATGGCAGAACTGACGATAGAAATAAAAGAATCTCTTTTTAACTTGAGTTGCCCTTGAATTGAGAAATGCAGGATGTATTAATTTGTCTGAGAAGTAGAGACAATTTCCATGTTCTCTCAAAGCCATGTCATTAGTGAGAAAGCAGCTCTTTGGTTTAGGTACAGTTATCCCAGTAGAGTCCATATGACATTGTTTTGGAATTGAAAAGTACCCTGTTTCAGGCTTTATTATACAACTATGCATATTACATGATTATTGTCTGGATATGAAAGAAAAGAAGACATAGAAATGAAAATGTAAGCTCAGCCCATTGTGTGGAAGTAGAGAATTCAATCATGTGAACTTGCCTAAAGAACATGTAGCCTCACCCTTCTTTGCTCTAAAGCCTATCAGTTCTCGCATGGGTCCACTGATGAGGCTGCTTGCAGCTAGTGAAGCTGAAAAATGTGGCTTTGTGTTGTTGACCTTCCCACCTTAGGTAGAAGAAGAACATGGGCGAGAGCCTGACAGGAAACCCTAAGGTCTGAACTGTTTACCTTGTTATTACAGAGGAACACAAACTGATTTTCAACAAGGCAACCTAGTGACTTTGAGGAAAGAACTTGAAGATTTTTACTTGGCAGATCACATCTCATCTGGAAGCATAGTTGTCCTTATTGAAACGAAGAGAGGAGATAAGACGTGAGATGGAGCCCGTAGTAGATTGTCCAGGTCCCCCCTCCCCCCCATGCTTGCTCCTTGCTTCTGGGGTTCCTTTTTCTCCCCGCCTTCCTCTCCTTCTCTCTTCTTGCTCTCTTCTGTTGTCTGTTTATGTGCCTTCTTTGTTGTAGGCGAGGCTGGCAGCTCCTGAGGGCTGAGGGTTGAGCAGTGAGGAGGCTTTTCCAGCAAAGCAGCATTCCTTAGGATCCTTTGGGAGGGCTGCCGGGCTCCAGGCTCTGTTGGGAGCTGGGGGGGGGGGGGGGAGGCTGACCTAGCTGAGCAGTCTAGGAGTTTTGTGTTTTCAGGCATGTTAGAATCCAGCACGTTCCAAAATTAAAATAATTGTATGCTTTAAAAAAAAAATCCCTGCCTATTGTGTAATGTCTTGATTATTGCTGCTTGCTTTTAGGTGTTTTTCTTTGGAGGGTCTGATTCCCTCTGCTGCTGGACTATGTGATCTTGCACATAATTACCCGACTGTGAACTTCAGTTTGCTCATCTTTAATGTGGAGGCTTTATGTGAAATGATTCTGAGATCCTATCTAAGCCAAAATTCTTGACCTGTGTTCCCTCAGATATAATACGTTGTCAAACCTAATAATCAGAACAAATAAGCTAAGTATCTATGAGGGCAGTGGGCACACGGCTGCATTGGGAAGAACGGTGCACCGAAATCATCTTGGGAGCGCAGTGAGTGAGTTTTTGGATCTGTTTGCCTTGTCAGTCTTGTCACTTATGGCATAAGTGACTAGGGGGATAGTTTTGCTGAAAACTGAAGTTTTACTCCTGACAGAGTGGGCTAGGCTGATCTCTGCTTCAAAAGACCCTTAATTTTGGATCTCTGACAAGGAAGTGTGGTTGCTGGGCCTGGCACTGCTTGCTTATGCATATGCCTGGGTGTGTTTGAACACCATCTGGGCTCCAGAATGAGCTCTCCGGGTCATCCTAGCCTTTGTACAGATAAACTGTAGTTGAATTTGGGCTAAAGTTCCTAGCCAGGCATCCAAGAAGCTGAAGTGTATGCAGCATGGTGTGCAGATGTGGGAAGCAAGTGCATAGCTCTCTTAAATGACCCCACTGGAGATTAGAACCTCTGTTGGATTCTCCCTTCCTAGCGTCATCTACATGCATATCTTTGGGTCTAGGTTTTAACTGGACTGGCTTTTAAATATTAGGGATAAGTAACTATGCCCTTCTTTGTTAGATTTCCATCTGAATCAATACTTTTAGAAAAAAGTATATATTTGAGGGGTAACATAATGAAAGCAGTGTAGCAAGTGGTTGGGATGGTTTTAGGCTCAGACCAAGGGTCGAATCCTAGCTTCACCACTTAGTAGCTTGGAGACTTAATGCAAGTTATTTCCACTTTCTGAACCTCAATATCTTTATTTATGAAAGGAAATGGTATAATTCCACATGGGTGTTAGGGAGATGAAATGAGAGTGCCCACATAAACTATGTCACACACAGTGCCCGCCCGCAGTAAGCACCATGTAAGCTTGAATGGCTTTCTGGTTACTGGGCATCACTGACATAAAAACAGGGGCCCCAGCAATATGTAACTCTCTAACCAAAAGTCATTTCAGGAACACTTGGGCGGCTCAGTCAGTTAAGCATCTGCCTTCGGCTCAGGTCATGATCTCAGGGTCTTAGGATCAAGCCCCGCATTGGGCTTCCTGCTCACCAGGAGTCTGCTTCTCTCTCTCCCTCTGCCTGCTGCTCCTTCTGCTTGTGCATTCTCTCTCTGTCAAATAAATAAATAAATACATCTTTTAAAAAAAACAAAACCCAAAGAGGTCACAGATATAACTAAATGAAGACAGACTTTGTTGTAAAGACACATTTATAGTCTTGAGATGAGCACATTATAACAGGTCAGGGCATCGTAACTGTCCATATTTTCATTGCCTCAGTTGTGACCTTAACCCTGTCATTACTTCACCTATCTACAATTTCTTTTCCTGAGAAAGGTTTAAAAAAAAAAAACCCAAACTGCTGATACCAGACTCTGTCAGATTTTCAAGCCACTTCTGCAGTCATGTTCTTGAGAAGGGCTACCCCATATGTGAGGGATGGGCACCTGACAGAGGCTTCAAGTGCCTCTCCCCTCGGCAGGTAATGGCAGTGTGCTGCTCTTCTTTATTTGCAGGGCAGCAGCTCATCCCAGCTCCAGTCGTGGACTGTCCAGCCCTCCTTCGAAGTGATCTCAGCACAGCCACAGCTCCTGTTCCTTCATCCACCCGTGCCGTCTCCTGTCAGCCCGTGTCACACTGGCGAGAAGAAATCAGACTCCAGGAACTACTTGCCCATTCTAAATTCTTATACGAAAATAGCCCCCCATCCAGGCAAAAGGGGCCTTTCCCTCAGCCCAGAAGAAAGAGGAGAAAGTGGGATGCAGAAGAAAGTCTGTACTGAGAGACTTGGGCCAAGTCTGTCTTCCAGTGAGCCAACCAAGCCTGGTGCCGTGTCCCCCAGCCCCCCGGCGCCGGCACCACCCGGCGCCAAGCTTGCCGAGGACTCTGCTCTGCAAGGTGTGCCCTCGCTGGTGGCAGGTGGAAGTCCACAGACTCTTCAACCGGTGTCCAGTAGCCACGTGGCTAAAGCCCCCAGCCTGACCTTTGCATCCCCCGCTAGCCCTGTCTGTGCATCAGACAGCACTCTGCACGGCTTAGAGAGCAGCTCCCCACTCTCTCCACTGGCAGCCAACTACAGCTCGCCCCTGTGGGCTGCCGAGCACCTCTGCCGCAGCCCCGACCTCTTCGCTGAGCAGCGGCAGAGCAAGCATAGGCGCTTTCAGAATACCCTGGTGGTCCTGCACAAATCTGGTCTGCTGGAGATCACTCTGAAAACCAAGGAGTTGATTCGTCAGAACCAGGCAACTCAGGTGGAGCTAGACCAGCTAAAGGAGCAGACCCAGCTGTTTATAGAGGCCACCAAGAGCAGGGCTCCTCAGGCGTGGGCCAAGCTACAGGCATCCTTAACATCAGGGTCTGGTCATACCGGTGGTGACCTAGAAGCGTTCTCTGACCACCCAGACATGTAACCCAGAAGGCATAGTTTCCTGTTACTTGAGTGGTTCTTTTTAACTCTTTGGCTGTTTTTACTCCTGTTTCCCAAAGCTTTTCCTTCTACACTTAAAGTGTTGGGCAGTTCACTTAGGAAGCCACAAGCCAGTACCTGGCTGCAATCTTAACCATGTGGTCTGTGCACAGTTTACATATGTCTCCATTCCTCTGAGGACCTCAGATTTGGAGCACTCTCAAGTCCCCTTTCCTTAGCCTGCAGGCACTTTGATGGGTCACAGCGCAAAGCAGGAGAGATGGTTGTGTGGGGCTCTTTTGGCTATCGCCTCCTACCATCCCACTCACTCACTGTGAGCAAGGGTACGGTGACGGAGGAGCACACGGAGTGATACCTGTCAAGCCAGGGAGTAGGTGACATAAGCATCCCTTTGTAGATCTTCCCTTGAACGTCTTAGTCACAGAGGAAAATACGAGGTGTGCTTGCATCCCACAAGGCATCGTGCCACCTGGGCAAAACCCAAAATGCCTCAGGCACAGGTTGGGCCAAGGGTGCAAGCGCTTAATCATGTGATGCTTTGTCTTCCTAAACTGGAAAGTCTAGAGGAGAGTAGCACCATTGAACTCTTAACACTTAAATCACAAGCCAGATTTCTCTTCACTTAAACTGGTAGTCAAAATACTTCAGATTTTTAAAGTATGGAATGGATTCAGTACCATCTGGAATTACAATTGCTGAATTGCTTTTTTGACTTAGAAGAAAGTAGACATGGCCAGCATCTCTTGGTTGGGAGCTGGAGGATTCTGGAAATTTATGCTTCCTGTCGCCCCCCCCCCCCTTTGAAACAATGCAACCTGTTTTATGTGTGAAAATCTCAAAAGATAGCATCATGGTTTCTGAGAATGTAAATTAACTCTCTGCTGCCACCTTTTTTCCCCCTTTTGTTTTTGTAAAAGAGGAAAGAAGTGATTACTGAGTTTGATAAACTTTGAATTAAAACCATCCTGAGGTTATGAAGTCCCCAGAATATTGGAAACCATTCTTCATACTGATTTTCTTTTCCTATCCAAAATTTTTGTTTGGCACATGTCATAGTGACGCAGAGCACTGTGGAGCAGAGTCTTCCGTGTTTCCTTTATGCGTTGGATGTCGGCAGCAAAGCCAGAGGTGTAGTGTTGGTTCTCTGAAGTTCATCTAGAAATGGAGAGTGTGATGGAATTCCCAGATGATTCCCATTCTTTCAGCTTCATGGTAAAGGTAAATGGGATTTCTGGTAGTACCATATCAGATTTTTTTTTATCTCATTTAAACATTTCATCCTCTTGAAAATCTCCATACAAATTACCTTAATAAGAAATTCTATCTGACCAGCTTCATCTTTTCTGCAAAGAAAAATGCCCTTGAAATTTTACCAAGGCCAGAAGCTAATGCTCACATTCACCTGGTAGTTAGAACTATAACATAGTTTTTAAATTTCAAGGCTTCAGGGATCCCTGGGTGGCGCAGTGGTTTGGTGCCTGCCTTTGGCCCAGGGCGCGATCCTGGAGACCCGGGATCGAGTCCCGCGTCGGGCTCCCGGTGCATGGAGCCTCCTTGTGTCTCTGCCCCCCTCTCTCTCTCTGTGTGACTATCATAAATAAATAAAATTTAAAAAAAAAAAAAAAAAAAAAAAAAAATTTCAAGGCTTCAGATGGCCCAGAATTTGTTATTAGACATGTATGATTTAGATATGACCAATTTAGAAATAGCTTGGTAAAATCTCTGCCCTGTCCTGATCAGTGCAGAATTATTACCTGCCATTTGCTTTCTGAAAGAGTTTCAAAATCCCAGCAAATGTGTCTTTAAACAGACTCTCCGCTCCTTTGAATATTCTCCTCTTGGCCCACTCCCTGTGCCTCCCCTGAATCTGTGTGGTACTACGACAGCTCTGCTCTGTGCACCATGCTAGGAAGCTTCCTTTTTGGCAGAAAGTATTTGGCAGCAAAGCTGCAGAGACAGGTGCATTCAGAACAGCCTGGGCGCCAGTCATGAGTCTTACTGAGTGTCAAAAATCTGAACATACTTGCTGAGAACCAAATTTATTCTATCGGAAAAACCCTCTGTGGAGCTATAAGCCTCTTGGACTCTTCTTCCTAGACTAAGGTTTGCATTTCCCTTCCTGTTATGGTAAAAGATGATGAAAGCTACCATTGATCCTCACTGCTGAGTGGCAGGGAGAAGCAGCACCTCCCCGGCTCTTCTCTGATCGTGTGACTTAGTGCTGGAAGTCTCTCTAGGCTGTTAGCATGGGTGTTCTTTCCCTAGTGGAGCTGTAAGCAGATGAAGCCAAAAAGGGAAGCTAGTTCTTGGAAGAAGAGGTCCACTGAAGCTCCCAGACATTTGGGGCCAGACGCCAGATCAGCAAATGGAGGAACCTCGGAGTAGACCAGAAGGATCTCCGTTGGTTGCACAAGGCTGTAAGTAGTGATGGTCTTAGCGAGCATGATTTGATCTGATATGAAGTACTGTGGCAGAGCTTCTGTTTTCTGAAAGTGAGAAGCAATTCTTAGTTTAGACCAGCCCTTAAAGAGAACTTTTGGCAGATCTGGTTGGCAGTGGTGAGACACATCTAGAAAAAGCTGCTCATGGAACTAGTTATGGGAATGGAGTTTAATAACATTTGTAATTTATTACACTCATGGCTTTTTATTGATTATAGTATTGTCTGACTTTACTATGATTCCTTCAACAGAAAAGTTAACTCTTGTGCATATATTGAAGTGTTTTTCCTGCTATGAATTCTTTAGGATAGAGATTTATTTACCAAATGTGAATTCTTTTGAGGAAGTATGAAGTTTTGTAGAAATTGACTGTGAAATGTCAGAGAAAAATAAAAGTCACTTACATGAAAACTATTTGGCCTTTTTGCTTTGTAACTGCTAAAAATACTACGTGAAATCTAGAGTAAGGGGGCATCTGGGTGGCTCACTGGTTGAGCGTCTGCCGTCCGGGGCTGATCCTCAGGTCCTGGGATCGAGTTCTGAATTGGGCTCCCCACCAGGAGTCTGCTTCTCCCTCTGCCTCTCTATCTCTCATGATTGAATAAATAAAATCTTTTAAAATTAAAAAAAATTTTTTTAATTTCTTTTTTTAAAATTTTTATTTATTTTATGATAGTCACACACAGAGATAGAGAGAGGCAAGGCAGAGACACAGGCAGAGGGAGAAGCAGGCTCCATGCACCAGGAGCCCGACATGGGATTCGATCCCGGGTCTCCAGGATCACGCCCTGGGCCAAAGGCAGGCGCTAAACCGCTGCGCCACCCAGGGATCCCATAAAATTAAAAAAAAAAATCTAAGTACAATCGACCTTTGAATAGCATGGGTTTGAACGGATCCACTTATCCATGGAAGTCTTTTGATAAAGGACAGTACAGTGCCGCACATGTCACTTCCTCATGGTTTTCATAACTTTTCCTTTAGTCCCGCTTACATAATTGTAAGGATACAGTCTATCATACATAGAACATATAGGTGTTCATTGACTGTTTATGTTACTGGTGAGGCTTCCAGTCGACAGTAGGCTTTTAGAATTAAGGTTTTGGGGAGTCCAAACCTATACATGGATTGTCAACTGTGTGGGGTGTTGGCACCCCAACATCCATGTTCAAGGCTCAAGTGTGTTTAAGTTTCAAACAGATGTACTCAGGTCACTTTGAGAATGTGGGGATTAGATACTGAACTGGTGTGAACTTGAAGTGCAGGCAATCTTAAAAGGCAAACGAAGAGTCCAGTGTTCCCCAGCATCTTGGAAGTTTATATTGGGTAGGTTGAGAGGGGTGAGAGGTGGATACAATCCAACGATTTCTCTCTTCTGACCTGACACTTTCACAGTTGTCTGGGAATAACAGTTGTCTGCTGAGATAAATTCATGCCACATTAAATGAAGTTCTATCATGGAGGCCGTTAGCAAGTACAGCTCTAGGCTTCCCCCCCACCCCGTGCTTTTTTTTTTTTTTAAGATTTTATTCATGAGAGACACAGAGGCAAAGACATAGGCAGAGGGAGAAACAGGCTCCCTGCGGGGAGCCAGATGGGGGACTCAGTCCCAGGGCCCTGGGATCACGACCTGAACCAAAGACAGACGCTCAACCACTGAGCTACCCAGGCGCTCTACTCTGCTTCTTTTTTTTTTTTTAATAAATTAATTTTTATTGGTGTTCAATTTACCAACATACAGAATAACACCCAGTGCTCATCCCGTCAAGTGTCCCCCTCAGTGCCCGTCACCCATTCACCACCACCCCCCGCCCTCTACTCTGCTTCTTAGAGCTGATTCCTAATGCTCTGCTCTTCCCTGCTCCCCAAGGCCAGTCAAGCCACTTCCTCCCCAGATTTTTAAGATGCTGGAAAAATAAAAGCTTATCCTCACTTAAAGGCCTAGAGGGTTGCCAGAGTCTGATTTTTAACAGCATTGTTTCTGTCCTACACAATTTTATAAGTGACTTTAAAATGTATGGCTGTATGACCACTTAGATGAAATGTCAAGATGGCTAGAGAAGGCCCCTTCTGAAATTGAGAACCATCTTCCCATAAGTGGCATACATAGAGGCAGACCACAAAAAGTGAACCTTGAGAGACTAAGGTGAGCAAGGTTATTTGAGCTCGTGGCCCCAGCCCCTTGGACTGATTCCTGTCCGGGGGAAATACTTGTCTGCCTAGGACGCCTATTTGATCCACCTCGTGGATGGTATCCCAGCAGGTTGTAGCCTGGTGCTACAGGGTCTAAAGACCCATGTCCCCTCTGTTAACTCACAAACAGGGTGGCTTTGGGTAAGTCATTTAGCCTCTGTAGACATCACTCCTTCTGGCTGATAACAAAGGATTCAAACTGGTTCTCCCCAGAGTTCTTCCCAGGCCTCACCATTTGAAAAATCTCTAGCTGTGTTACAGGTAAGCCATAAAATTAGCAGATTTAAAAATTTTTTTAAATTTATTTATTTATGATAGTCACACACAGAGAGAGAGAGGCAGAGACACAGGCAGAGGGAGAAGCAGGCTCCATGCACCGGGAGCCCGACGTGGGATTCGATCCCGGGTCTCCAGGATCGCGCCCTGAGCCAAAGGCAGGCGCCAAACCGCTGCGCCACCCAGGGATCCCAAATTAGCAGATTTAAAACAACCTGGGGTGCCTACAAAGTGGGTCCCTAGTGCTCTGGTAAGATGATTTTATTTATTTTTTAATTTTATTTATTTATTCATAGAGACACACAGAGAGAGACAGAGACAGAAGCAGGCTCCATGCAGGGAACCCGATGTGGGACTCGATCCAGGGTCTCCAGGATCACACCCCGGGCTGCAGGCAGCGCTAAACTGCTGTGCCCCTGGGGCTGCCCCTGCTAAGATGATTTTAAAGCATTCAGTCGGATTTTTAACTTGTATGTGGCTCTAAGGGAAGCATTTTGTTGGTCCACGTTGGTTTTGCCTTTCTTAAGATTGCCTGATTGCAGCAAATATGGATTTGCTAATTCCCATATAAAAGCCTGCTCTCAAAGAATTATGAGCCCCACAGGAGAATCCTTTGGGGTTAAGTCATGGCCTTCCTAGCCAGTCATTTGCAAACAGCCCCTTTCTTTCTTTCTTTTTCTTTCTTTCTTTTCCTTCCTTCCTTCCTTCCTTCCTTCCTTCCTTCCTTCCTTCCTTCCTTCCATTTTATTCAGAGAGAGAGAGAGAGAGAGGCAGAGTCACAGGCAGAGGGAGAAGCAGGCTCCATGCAGGGAGCCTGATGCGGGACTCGATCCCGGGTGTCCAGGATCATACCCCGGGCTGCAGGCAGCGCTAAACCACTGCGCCACTGGGGCTGCCCCAGCCCCTCCTTTCATCTGAAATGAAGGATAACGGGTTGTATATGTTGGAGGGCATGTCAGTGAGCTTGCATGTCAGTCCAGATCTCTTTCCCCCGACCAGGGAGGATGTTTCTGCGAGCCTTTTAGGTTGACTTCGTGTTGTTTTTAAGGGAAATAGTCATACACCATGTAAATGAGGTCCTGTTTTCTGGGTACCACTAAGCAAGCACACCACAAGAGAGGTGGAGGTGAGGTCAGTCTGGTGACACAGTGCGAACAGAAGGGCAGGAGAAAGAGGCAGCCAGAAGCAGACTTTCTCCGACCTCAGTTTCCTCTATCATAGGAGGGTTTGTGAGCTTTGCTGTCCACTTGGCCTCCCGAAGTTATGGTGAGGTGAGAAACAGTGATGTTTCTAAAGTGTTATAAAACTGCCCCACGAAGTGAGGCAGCCCCCTTGCACGCACACCCCATGGCCCCTCGAGGGTTGTCATTTGCTTGGAATAACGAAGACTATCGCCTACCAAAATCTCATTTCCAACTAACGGGAAGACGGCAGGTATCAACCCAGCCTTTGACTGGTTTCCTGGTGTCCTGAACCTCTCAGAATTCCTGCTTGGTTCTTAGAGCACGTGGCTTGCCTCCCTCCTTCTCTGAA